TTTCTCCCACACCATAAGGATTCCCATGCGGAAATTGCAGACGATGAGATAACAACTGCAACTGATGTTGATTCTGACATTGATGATAGCGTTTTCGGGAATAGTCGTTGGTGGTGTTTTCATGGGAATTCCCTTAGATATGGATGTTAAATATAGCTTTAACCGTGTTTACACAGGTGAATTGTTTCAGGGAGGCAATTTTTCTATTTTTTTGGAAGTTATTACTTCAATTTTTTGGTTCAATATTGAAAAACTCTCAATATTCTCTATATAAATATTGAGAGTATACTAATCTCGTTACACGACACCACTGACATAATCAGGAATCCTGAAAGCAAATTCTGCAATGGGTAAAAATTTCTAATAAGAGATGGGAGGGGTATTTGAAAGACCACGGATATTCCTACCCTACCTTGCCTTACTTTGCCGAGTTCTCGTTAAATCAGAGAACCATTTCCAGACAGATTTTTTGAATTCTTTAGAGAAGAGATTTTAGAGAAGCCCATCAAATGAAAGTTGAACCAGTAAGGAAAGGTCAAAAGTCTGACGCGGCCGACTATATGATAACCTACACCACTATGCGTATTTAGTAGAGCTCACGTAAAAAAATAACATTGGCATCTATGTGAAGTAGATCATACCAACTATGAACCAAATAATATTGCTGTATAGGGCATGATATGACTTAGAGAAGGATTATATTAAAAAATATTTATTGAAGCAATAGATATACCGGGCCGAGTCGTACCAAAATTCGTTTGAATATGAAACAAGTAAAAAAGCTGGAAATTCGACGGGCTGAACTGTGAATACCCTCCACCATTTGGAACGAATTTGCAATTTTCAAAAAATAAAATCTGTTAAAAATTCTGTTAAAATCTTAAAAATACCGAAAGTAGCTGTTATATTAGGGTCTATACGACGACATGGACCTGCAAAAGTAACATGGACATCGACATGGACCTGCATAAGAAACTTAAAAAAAATCGGCGAGTAATGTAGCTGAAATCATCAAAATACCCAATATCGGGAGGTATCGCTATACGAAGACGTGGACCTGCACAGACAATCTCTTGTCATGTAGCATCTATTACGAATATCGAATACAAAAATTCAACAATTCCTGCGAATAATATAGCTAAAATCATCAAAATACCGAATATTGGGAGGTACGATTATATGGGGTCTATATCAAAACGTAGACCTGCACAGAAAATTTTCTGTCGTAGGCTAAAGTATCCATTACCAACTTCAAATACCAAATTTGAAACAATTCCGGTGAATAATGTCGCAAAAATCATCAAAATACCGAATATCGGTTGGTTCCGTTGTATGGAGGCTATACGAAGACGTGAACCTGCATATACAATTTTCTGTCATAGACTGAAGTATCCACTACGAACTTCAAATACCAAAATTGAGACAATTCCCGTGAACAATGTCGCAAAAATCGTCAAAATACCGAATATCGGAGGTACCGATATATGGAAGCTATACGAAGACGTGGACCTGCACAGACAATTTTCTGTCGTAGGCTGTAGTATCCATTACCAACTTCAAATATCAAATTTGAAACAATTCCGGTGAATAATGTCGGTAAAATCATCAAAATACCGAATATCGGAAGGTTCCGTTATACGGGGGCTATACGAAGACGTGAACCTGCATATACAATTTTCTGTCATAGGCTGTAGTATACATAACGAACCTCAAATGCGAAACTTGAAACATTTCCGGTAAATAATGTAGCTAAAATCATCAAAATACCGAATATTGGGAGGTACGATTATATGGGGTCTATATCAAAATGTGGAACTGCACAGAAAATTTTAGTCATAGGCTGTAGTATCCATTGCGAACTTCGAATACGAAATTTGAAACATTTTCGGTGAATAATGCCGCTTAAACCATCGAAATACAAAATATCGGGAGATGCCCTTATATGGAGCTATACCAAAAGGTGGACTTACAAGCGGAATGACCAACTTAATATACCCTCCATACCATGGTGGAGGGTATAAAATCTATTCACTTTTGGCTGATATTATATATATGGTGAGCGATAAACGTTAAATCGGATGAAGATGTATATCGAAGCTATGTAAAAATCTGACTCGATCTAGTACCAAATATCATTGTTGTGGAGCGCATATTACTCATTTGAAACATATATATGAGAGCTATAGCTATATTTGAACCGATTTTCACCAAATTTGAAGTACATGCTTCTAGTGGAATTCAGTGAATTCGGAAGAGTCAAAATTCGGTCCATTTGGGCTGATATTAGCACAGTTGGCACTTAAAAATACCAAAGTATCGATTAACTCAAGCAAGCGCTTCGCCGGGAATGGGCCAAAATACCGCAGAGCAACATTCGGGCAGCGTGTGACGGTTTCATTGGCTGTTTGAAGGCCATAATTCGTGCCAAAGGTGACCAATTCGCAGAAATCTAAATGTATTCTAAAATTTGATGGTATTTCCGACATCTCTTGCTTTCATTCAATAAAATTTAAAAAAAATGTAAAAATTATGGCATTTGATTTTGGTGCAGTTTTTTATCTCACCCTGTACATTTTTATCCGATATCAGGTTTATTGTGCACCAAATGGCTAATATCAGCCCAAATTGAGTGAATTTCGGGACGTACGTTTCCATTTTGTGAAAATCGACTTCGATATATTTTATTCAATGTTGTTTGATATAAATGATTAAAATGTCTTCGTCAAATTTGGCGAAAATCGACTCAGAACTTGATATGCCTGCCCTCCGAAACCAAACTATAACTGCTCTAAAGCCAAATGTGGATAGGTGGTATGATCTACTTCAAATAGATTATTTTGTTACGGGAGCTTTACTAAATATGCATAGGTGTAGGGTATCATATAGTCGGCCCCACCCAACTTGTTAAGTTTTCCTTACTTGTTTTACATTTCACAGTTCCTTCCAAATTGTGGAGGGTATTGAAAGATCGGCCCTTCCAAACATAGCTGCTTTTTGGCTTGTTGTACTGTATTGTTTCTGTAACTACTTGGCGTTGCACAGTGTTTTGTTCTAAGAACCCGAAATGTTAGATTGCAAGAAAAATCGAAACCCAAACCTTCAAAATCCATTCTTTTTGAAATAATCCCAAATTCTTTTTGGGAGTTTCCTGATTAATACCAGCCCGAAAAGCGTTTGAAGTTAATGAAAATCCAGATAACAAATTTCATAGCAATATTAAATAGTGAATAAATATCGATCCACTTTAAATTAATCGCCATGTTTTACATCCCGATTAATCAAAACAAATAGCAACTAAAAAATTCAGATAAAAACAAGAAAATAAAAGAAAAACAACAACAAATGACATAAAATAGAAAAAGTTGTTCATTTTTTCCGAACAATTAGCCAATGAATGATTTGACTATAATAATCATTATAATGATTAATGTTTTAAAGTAAGTGTGTGTGTGTGTGTGTGTGTATGTGTGTGTGTGTCATTAAATTTTCACTCTGATGGCAATTATTGATGACTGCAATTGGAGCAAATTGACAATGACAAATTCTAACAACAGCAGCAACAAAAAGAATCTGAATAAAAAAAAATCGAAAAAATAACTGTAATCATCATTAGTGTGCAATAAAGATAATACTTTTGTCACTTGCACTCACTTATTGCGGATTGCAGGAGTAACTCCAACACGGTGAATTCCTCCACACATACATAGATACATACATACATGTATATTGATGTATGGATGCACAGGGTGAGATAAAAAAAACTGCAACAAAGTCAAACGCTATAATTTTTACATTTTTTAAAAATTTTAAATTTGAATTTTTTTAAATTTGAATTAGAGCAAAATATGTCAGAAATAGCATCAAATTTTAGGATAAGTTTAGATTTGTTCCAATTGGTCACCTTTGCCACAAATTATAGCCTTCAAACGGACAATGAAACCGTCACACGCTGCCCGAATGTTGCTCTGCTTGAGGTGATCGACACTTTGGTGTTTTTTAGTGCCAGCCTTGCTCTCCAAAATACTCCAGACACTATAGTCCAACGGATTGGTATCCGGAGATTTTGGTGGTCATTTTGAGCTGAAATGAAGCGAGGAACCTCATTTTGTAACCATTCTTGGGTGGAGCGTGCTGAGTGCGATGGTGCTGAGTCCTGTTGGAATGTGCAAGGTCGACGGACAAAATGTTTGCGTGCCCAAGGCTTTAATACACCCTCCAGAATACTTTCGCGATAATATTCGGTAGGCATTCATTCTGATGCCACGGTCGATTAATACGAGCGGAGAGCGACAATGGGCTGCTATGGCGGCCCACACCATCACCATGGCCGACGCTTGAGTTCTACTGGCCAACCGAAGGTGAACATTTTCAGCTGACCTCTTTGGCAAGTAAACACGATAACTTAGTTTGTTTACAAACTGCTGGACAACGAATGGTTTCTCATTGGAGAAAACCAAATTCGGCAGTTAGCCAATTTCGGCCAAGCGAAGCAACTCTTTACCTCTTTTGAGTCTATTTTCTTTCTTCTGTGGTGTAAGTTCTTGCACTTTTTGGAATTTCAATGGCTTTACCCCAAGCTCATTTTTCAATATTTGCCGAATGGAATATTGCGATATGTTCAGCTCACAAGCCATTTTCGGCCACTGCGACGCGGGTTTCGATCAAGTCGCTTCTCTACTTTTCGAACCATTTCTGCTGATGTTGCCGTTTTCTTCCGTCGTTTTCCTTGACGCTGACGGGCTACGCTACCAGTATCATGTTAACAAGCGATGGTACGAGACACAAAATATTTATTCACATTTAAATGGTGGAGTGCTCTAACGATAGCCACTTGTGGTTTTCCAGCCAAATATAAAGAAATCACACTATCACGCTTGAATTCCATCACGAATAACTTTTTTTCTGGAAAATTCTCACCAAAATGCTTTTGTAGGCTTGCAAAAAATATAATGAGCTGTCACTGGAATAATTTTAAAAGCTGTCGGACGAGTGGCATAGTAATGACAGCACCCTGTGTAGAAATGGATGTATGTATGTATTTTAGTTTTTAACATCACCAGCATTATTGTGTTTGACATGACACATTCATCATTCTGACTTTTGTAATTAATGGTAATTTTCTCTCTCTCTGTTCTCTCTACCTCTTCCCCTCTCTCATTACAGACAATTATACGCGAAATGAATCGTTTGGGCATGATGGTCGATTTGTCACACGTCTCGACGGGCACAATGCGAGATGCTCTGGAAGTCACCGAAGCACCTGTGATATTCTCCCACTCGTCCGCCTACGAACTATGTAATTCGAGTCGCAACGTCCAGGACGATATGCTGCAATCGATGGCCAAGAACGGTGGCATAATTATGGTCAACTTTTACTCGCGTTTTTTGTCGTGCAGCGAAAATGCCACGGTACACGATGCTGTCGGTAAGTGGGACAATCAGTTGATAATGGTTCAATGCATGCTCTATTGTGTTGCTTTTATTTTTTATGTTGCCAGCTGGCTATTCTAACTTTAATTTTGAATGAGTCCATTATGAGGTTGGGATTGGTTCAAAAGTTTTGGTCGACCAGTTGAATAGGTGATGTGTGTTGTGAGTTGCTTTTAGAATTTCTAGCTCAATACTGATACCAATCGAAGCAAACATTTTCTGGTTTGTTTTTCTTTTTTCGGTGGTTTGTTCTGTCGTTCTTCTGATGCAATGGGTGACAAAACTAAATATTTTTACATGGCATAGTAATGGCATTAGCTGACCACACAGCCGAGTCGCTTATTACAGATTGGTTTCCCCTTTTTTAGAGGACAAGGGTAGAATCTGCTCGTCAAGAGTGGAATCTGCTGGATTTCGAGCGAATATTACTCCCACCCTAAATCGAGCGAAACATGCTCGTTTTTAATTCAAGCGACATCGATATATAAAATATAAATGATTTTTTTCTAATCCTAGGAGTACTCTCACTCGAATTGGAGTAAAGAGTGAAACTCACTGGAGTTTGCCGAAATTGCTGATTTCTCACTTCTTTTAGTTTCGTTTGCAGATGTAGGTTGAGACAACACACATCCATAGAAACATAACAAAGTTAAAACAAAAACTAAATCGGTGCTCGTCAAGAGTAGAATCTACTCCATCTCGAGCGATTTTTACTCCCGCTCTAATTCGAACGAAGTATGCACGATCTTATTCGAGCGACATCGAAACATATAATATCATAGATTTATTTTTTTTTTTTTTTTTTTTTTTTAATCCCGGGAGTAATTTTACTTGAATTCGATTAAAGATTGAAACTCACTCCAGTTTTTCGGTGTTCTTCCGGGGTTTTGGGAGTGATTTAAACATTCACCAAAATTTACTCGATCCGGTGCTGTGCTCGCATTTTAACATATTTGTTAAAATTTGTTCTTCCAAGGTAATCAGGTTCCTTTGCTAACAATGTTAACTTTTGTGGAAAATGCACTCTAATTTAGGGCATTTGACGAGCAGTTTAATAGCGATTGTCGATCATGACCCAAACTACCCTGGGCGTATTATAAGTTTGATTTGGCCAAACAGTAATATGTGTAACATCGCGAAATATTGGCCCAGACCAGGGCTAGCCAAACCAAACCCACCTCTCACACAATCATAGCTTTGTGTATAAAACTCACCATCGATTAGTAAACTCACCACCAGAACTCTTCACTTCTTTACCATCAACAAATTTGCTATGCAAACAGTCAGTAGCTTTTAATCTTTCAACGAAGTAGGAGATCCCGATAGAATTAACACACCCAATGTTTACAGAGAGAGGGAGAGTTACTCTCTCGATGTTCACGTCACATCTTTTGTGTTCGTAGTGGTTGACCAGCCCCACGAAGTTTTGTATCGATCTTCCTACCTCGCCGAGTAGAGTTGCTAAAACCCACCTTCCAACGAAAGTGCTAGTACATAAAGGTGCCACACCTTTACATTGATGCTCAATTTTTAGATCTATATATAGTGTGGAATCGGAGGTATAGCAAAATATACACATGAATCTAAATTTTCAAAAAAAATATCGAATTCCTACAAGCACTACAGGGGTGAAAAAAAATTGGAATTTGATATTTTTTTATGTCTCTGGCCATGTTCGATCGAAGTAATGTAACAACAACAAGAATGCCAGTCATATGGCTACAGAGGGTATAATCTTTCGACACGGCCAAAACGCGCCTCATTGAAATAACGGATTTAAACCCTAGGTCTCTTTTGACCAAATCCGTTTCAGGACATTTGGAGTCGATGTAAGAGCGTCCGCACGTCCGTCCGTCTGCCTGGATAATGCGCACGATAACTCTCGAAAAGAGTATACGATTTGGTTCTAACTTTGTACATCGTAATATTATTATCATTATTATCAAACATAGATCGAGTCCGGAGATGGGCAACACCGCTACAGTCCTTCTGGTACCTTCTCCAAAAAATTTCGAAATTTAAAAAAAAATAAATATTTTACTGCATAGAAAGATAAAAGATACTCGGATTTTGCCCCAAAGCAAATCTTAATATTTGCTTCAGTACTAGGTCAGTGGCGAAAATGGACAATATCGGTACACTCCATCAAGTACCTCCCCTACAAAGGATCAAAATGTTAAATAATTATAACTCTTATAAAACGTAATATATAGGAGTCCGATTATCTTCAAATTTCGCACATTTCAATGTTTCTACTAACAACAGATCTAATATGAAGAAAAGATAGAGCGGACCACTCTTTCTGGTACCTCCCCCACAACGGGTCAAAATTTGGAATAGAAAATAGTTCATAAATAGCGATTTGAGCATCCGAGTAATTTGAACTTTTGTATACCTCAATATTACTTACCAACACAAGATGTGGTGGGAAGACGGGATATATCCGCCAATTCCTTAGCCACAAAGGGGTCTAAATTTTGTTTATAAAAACACTCATAAAATGCGGAATAAACATCTGATTCTCATCAAATTTCACACAAGCCAATATTCTCTTCCAACACAAGATCTGGTGTGAAAATAATATATATCGACCTGCAGGTACCTTGCCACAAAGAAAAATTATTCAATATCTCATATAAATATTTATTTCAAATACTTATTTTCAAACTTATGTGAGATACATAATGTAAAATATTCACCCACTCCTTCGAAAACAACCCCATAAAGGGCCAGCAGTTTAAATAATCATAAGGGAAGTCGAAAGATAGGCTATATCGGTCCATGATATTGCATGGCCCTTATATATTCGGTATTTTGAAGATTTTAGCCACACTGCTCAATGAAATTGTCTGAAATTCTACACAAGGAGTTCTTTGTGAGTACTTTAGACCCTGAAAGCGAATTGTCTATATAGGTCCACGATATCGAATGTCCCCATATAACTCTACCCCCCGATATTCAGTATTTGGATGATTGTAGCCACATTTTTCAATGGAAATGTGTAAAAAGCCACACCAGGAATTCCTTCAGAGTATATTACCGCCTGGAAGAGAATTTTCTATGCAGGGTGAGATAAAAAACAACAACAAAGTCAAACGCCATAATTTTTACATTCTTTTAATTTTATTTGGCACGTCTTATGGCCTTCCCGGCGAAGCGCTTGCTTGAGGTGATCGACATTATGGTATTTTTTAGTGCCAACCTTCCTTTCCAAAATACTCCAGACACTATAGTCCAATGGATTGGTATCCGGATATTTTGTTGGTCATTGTGCGCTGGAAATTAAGCGAGGAACCTCATTTTGTAACCATTCTTGGGTTGCGCTTGCTGTGTGCGATGCTGCTGAGTCCTGTTGGAATGTCCAAGGTCAAAATGCGGCCAAAATGTTTGCCTGCCCAAGGGTTTAATACGCCCTCCAGAAAATTTTCGCCATAATATTCGACATTTATACTGATGTCACAGTCGATTAATACGAGCGGAGAGCGACCATCGTATGTTATGGCGGCCCACACCATCACCATGGCCGGCGCTTAAGTTCTGGTGGCCAACCGAAGGAGCACATTTTCAGCTGACTTCTTTGGCAAGTAAAAACGATCAGTTTGTTTGTTTACAAACTGCTGGACAACTAATGTTTTCTCGTCGGAGAAAACCAAATTCGGCAGTTCACCACTTTCGGGCAAGCGAAGCAACTCTTTAGCTCTTTTGAGTCTATTTTCTTTCTGTTGCGGTGCAAGTTCTTGCACTTTTTGGAATTTCATTGGCTTTACCCCGACTCATTTTTCAATATTTGCCGAATACCATTTTTCGGCCACTGCGACGCTGGTTTCGATCAAGTCGCTTCTTTACTTTTCGAACCATATCTGCTAATGTTGCTGTTTTCTTCCGTCCACTTCCTTGACCCTGACGGGCTACGCTACCATTATCACGGTAACGAGCGATGGTACGAGACACAAAAGATTTATTCACATTTAAATGCTGATGTGCTCTAACGATAGCCACTTGAGGTTTTCCAGCCAAATATAAAGAAATCACAACTTTTTTTCTCACCAAAATGCTTTTGTACGCTTTCACTGGAATAATTTTAACAGCTGTCAGACGAGTGGCTTAGAAATGACAGCAGTCTGAAGTTGGTTGCAGTTCTTTCATCTCAACCTGTATATATTCACGATAACGTATGCCCTCAATCAATGGAACCCCCCGATATTCTGTATTTTGATTATTTTAGCGACATTTTTGACGGGAATTGTTTCAAATTTCGTATTTAAAGTTCGTAACGGGTCAACGTCTTCGTATAGCCTCCATATGTCGGTACCTCCCTTTGTTCGGTATTTTGATGATTTTAACGACATTATTCACCGGAATTGTTTAAAATTTCGTATTTGAAGTTCCTAATGGGTACTTCAGTCTATGACAGAAAATTGTCTATGAAGGTCCAGGTCTTCGCATAGCCCCTAAATATCGGTAAATCCCAAAAATCTGTATTTTTAAGAATTTAGCTACATTATTCTCAGGAATTGTTTAAAATTTCGTATTCGAAATTCGTAATGGGTAATACAGCCTCTGAAAAAATATTACCAATGCAGGACCACGTCTTCGTATAGCCCCATATAACGATTTTCCTTTGAGCGGTATTTCGACGGAATTTTTTGGACATTTTTGAAGTCCCTTCAATAGTGCGGAGGGTATTAAAAGTTTGGCCAGCCGAACTTAGCTGCTTTGTTGCTTGTCCCTTAATAGTTTTCTAGCAACGATGCTCCTATTATGATTAAATCTTTTTATGCGCAAGCAAAAATAATAATAATAATAATAAGATATATTTATTTTCCCATTCCTTTTACCCTCCCCGTTTACTATTCTACCCATTAAGAGCTGATTAGTTTCTTTCAAATAATATTGAAAACTACATAAATCTAATTTATATATCTTTTCTATTTTCATTTTTCCTTTATGACTACTCCACCACCACTCTACGGCTGCCAACTTCAATCCATTGGCTTGTACCTACTCTTCATCTAATCTGCCTCATCAAATGTTCCGCCATTGCTGGGATTACTTCACAAATCAATTTTATGGTGACTGGCTCTAATTCGGGTGATTGGTGCATTGAACTTTGATTATACGTTTGTTAATTTAACCAATTTTTGTCGTCGTCGTTGCTGCTGCTGAACAACCGAACAACCATTACCTTTAAAACTACAACTATAACGACAATGCTTATATGAATGCCAACAACACCAACAACAACAAAAAATTCAATTGCATTATGCAAATCGTCTTTTGCTGATTTATCCCAACGCACACTCCAATCAATTTTCTTTTCATTCTTCGTTTTGACGATGACAACTGTCACGGCGGCGACAACGACGACCTCGATGATGCTGATAATTCTGCTGCTGCTGCTACTTCTGCTCCTGCTGATGACTGTCAATTCTATGGCCTTAAATATTTGCTGGAATGTTGCCTATATTAATCTACAACGCTGGCGTGTCTATCTTCTTCATCTTCACTGCTGTTCTGCTGTCATATCGCCTGGCCTTACCATGAACCCCGCTGTTGATGCTGCTGATGATGATGATGACGATGCTGGTGTTGGTGTCGGTGTGTCGGCATTTGTACAGCTCATATAAATCACATTAAGCGTGTTGCCGGCATTGATCATGTGGGCCTTGGTGCCGGATACGATGGAATCAATTTGTAAGTAAATGAAATTTATTTTTGTATTATCGCATTACTTGTATGCGTGTGTGTGTGTGTGCGTGTATATAATATATATATTGCATCTTCGAATGCCCGGTCAAAGTGCTAGTGTACGTAAAAGGGCACAGTGGTATTTCAAAAATAACTATCTACATCTACATAAGAAGGCTCAGTTAAAATTTGACGAAACCTCTGAAACTAGAGGTGAAATGTGGACGAACTTTTAGTAAGAGCAATAAAAGGCTACAAAGATTTCTTATATCCATTCAGTTCTACTCAATTCCCAAAAAACGATTTGAAATGAAAATTACGAAATTTGGAACAGGGTGAGATAAAAAAACTGCAACAAAGTCAAACGCTATAATTTTATACATTTTTATACCCTCCACCATACTATGGAGGGTATATTAATTTTGTCATTCCATTTGTAACTCCTCGCAATACTCATGTCAGACCCAACCAAGTATATATATTCTTGATCAGCGTAGAATTCTAAGACGATTTAGCTATGTCCGTCTGTCTTTTGTAATCACGCTATCTTTCGAACGAATTGAGATAGAAGGTTAAAACTTTGCACACATGTATATTTTGCCAGCAGGCAGGTTAAGATCGCAAATGGGCCATGTAGGTCCACGTTATCATATAGCCCCCATATAACGGTACCTTCCGATATTCGGTATTTTGATGATCTTAGCGACATTATTCACCTGAATTGTTTCAAATTTGGCATTTGAAGAATGATTTCACGACAATATTCGGCATTTGTTTTGATGCCACGGTCGATCAATACGAGAGGAGAGCGACCATCGGCTGTTATGGCGGCCAACACCATCACCATGGCCGGCGCTTCAGTTCTGGTGGCCAACCGAAGGTGCACATTTTCAGCTGACCTCTTTGGCAAGTAAACACGATCATTTTGTTTGTTTGTTTACAAACTGCTGAACAACGAATGTTTTCTCATCGGAGAAAACCAATTTCGGTAGTTCACCACTTTCGGCCAAGGAAAGCAATTCTTTAGCTCCTTTGAGTCTATTTTCTTTCTGTTGTGTTGTAAGTTCTTCCACTTTTTGGAATTCAACGGCTTTACCCCGAGCTCATTTTTCAATATTTGCCGAATGGCATATTGCGATATGTTCAGCTCACGAACCAGTTTTCGGCCACTGCGACGCGGGTTTCGATCTGGTCGCTTCTTTACTTTTCGAACCATTTCTGTTGATGTTGCTGTTTTCTTCCGTCCACTTCCTTGACGTCAGGCTACGCTTTTAGTAGCACGGTAACGAGCGATGGCGCGAGACACAAAAGATTTATTCACATTTAAATGCTGGAGAGCTCTAACGATATCCACTTGTGGTTTTCCAGCCAAATATAAAGAAATTACACTATGACGCTTGAATTCTAACAGCAAGTTACAACACCATTTTTTGGGAATTCTAATTAAAAGGTCCTAGAATGTTCCAAATAATACCAGAAATTTGGAAAGGGTCAAACTGGTGAGTTGTAGGGAAGAAAGTTAGACTCGTCATTTTTAACCGATCTCGATACAATTTGGCAAAGGTGTTTCCGAGCTCTATAAGATATCTGGTACTAAATATCATTCTTGTCGAATGCATATTACGAATGCGAGGGACTTTAAACCCCAAACCGGATGAAATATATATATGGGAGCTATATCTGAACCGATTTTCTCCGGATTCGATATACTTGCAACTAGACTGAATCCGGTCGGATGTGCCAAAATTCGGGTCATTTGGATTGATATTGGCCATTTGATGCATAATTAACCCGACATCTGTTGAAGATATATATGGGAGCTATATCCAAATCTGAACCGATATTGATAAAATTTGGCAGAGGTATTTCTGGGCTGTATTTGATACCAAAAATCATTTTTGTGGGGTGCATATTACGGAATTCACACCGAATCACATGAAACATATATATGGGAGCTATATATATCTGGACTTTTGGACAGATATTGGCCATTTGATGCAGAATTAACCCGACATCTGTTGAAGATATATATGGGAGCTATATCCAAATCTGAACCAATCTTCTTGAAATTTGGTAGAGATATTTCCGAGCTCTATAAGATATCTGGTACCAAATATCATTGTTTCGAATGCATATTACGAATGTGAGGGACTTAAACACCAAATCGAATGAAACATATACGAATTTTACCTCCCCTACAAAGGGTCAAAGTTTTGAAAAACCAAAACGATTATAAAATCCGAAATAACCATCCAGTTCTCTTCATATTTTACACATCCCATCATGCCTACTAACACAGAATGTGCTGTGAAGATGGGATATATCGGTTCACTCCTTCTGGTACCTCCACAACAAAGGGTCAAAATTTTGAATATCCATGAAGCTCATAAATCGCAAAATTAACATCCGATTCCATTCAGACTTGGCACATCTCAATATTTCCATCAACACAAGATCTGTTATAAAAATTGTGGAGTTCGGGCCATTTCTTCTAATTCTTCCTCCACAAAGGATCAAAATTTTGAGTAACCAAAACGTTCATAAATGCGAAGTAAGCATCCTATTTCATTCAAATTTCACACATCCCAACATTTCTACTAACACAAGATTTGGTATAAAAATGAATTATATCGGACCACTCCTTCTGGAACCTCCCCCACAAAAGGGTCGAAATTTTGAGTAATTATATCTCTTATAATTTGCGAACAAAGTCTGTGACTCTTTTAAAACTTGGTAGCGTGAGATCTGAGATTAATACAGAAATCATCTAGAATCCTTGTGGAACCTCCCCCACCAAAGGGTCGAAATTTTAAATAATTATATATCTTATAATTTACGAAAGAAGTCTGTGATTCTTTTAAAACTTGGTAGCGTGAGCTCTGAGATTAATACGGAAATCTTCTAGAATCCTTCTGGAACCTCCCCCACCAAAGGTTTTAATTTTGATTAATTATTCGCATCAACTTGGAAATAAATATTAGATTCTCCTCCCAATATTTTTTTTTTCGGTATTAGATGAAGTGGAATCCTTTGGTCCCCTATATCTGGTACCTCATGCATATTTTCTCCTTTTCCAAAAGTTATTACACTTCTCACGTAAAGGTGAATAAAGTAGTCAATTTAGCCCAAATCTGGCACATTTATATGGGGCTTAGGTCAGATACGAAATGGACAATATTGGCCACTCCTTCGGAATCTCCCCCATAAAAGTTCTCTATGGCTACAAATTTTTATATTTATTTTTTTTAAAGAAGCAATATAATTAACGCTCAAAAAAACACTGTATCTTTTTGTCCTGCCATCCAAAGTTCATTTGTGTCCATCCCAGCGGTAAAGAGAGCAAGCGAATCTGATTCTCAATTCTGGATGGGCTAGATGCGATTGTTGAAATCGATTTTTTTGGTGTTTTATGGTTTTTTATTTTTCAATCTTTCTCTCGCAGTTTTCCCAACGCCATTCACTTTTAATCGTTTATAACGGCCAACCGAACGACAGACTGAATGACTGACTGTTGTTGGACGACCAGACAAAAGTAGTAGCGATGTAAAAAAAACAACAAACACCGAAATCAAATGAATTCCCTTGATCCTGTTGCTGTCCCAGTTGTTGATTGTCTGCTGCCGCTGCTGGCCAATGTCTGGCATTCGTCAATATCATTTAATGGTTGGTTATATTTTTAAATTGAATCCTAGATACTGGCGAACTGGACGTTCTTCGCATTTCATTCATTCATTCATTTAATAATCTGAAGGGAATATTTGATTAATTTATGTCGAAAAAATGAAAAACGAAAATCGAAAAACAACAACGACGATGAAACGAAACGAAACCTTTTAATTGGCCAAAGGGAAAGTAAACGCAAATTGAGTTGGTGGTTCCGGGGTGTGGGTCGTTGGGATGGCTGAGGAAAATAAAGTTTTATTTATGTAATGGGATTTTGCTTTTTGTTGTTGTTGTTTTTTTTTTTCTGTGCCCTCTGGGTTAATGGTTTTTCTTGTCCAATAATTAATTAATATTCCTTTGTAATTGAAATGGCCTTATGTTGACGATCGACCAAGCGACCAATCGACCCGGTTTATGATTGATGTTCAGCTTCAGATCCATTGCAGGGGAAAAATTAATCAAAAACATAGACATTGAAACCGACAGCCCACAGAGGAGGACAATTAATCGATTGTCACCGGCCAAATGTTAACATGGGGAGGTTATGACTGTTAATCGATGCTATTACCATTTATTATTTATGTCACCAAGTAGCAGCGGCAGGGCAAATATTGACTTCCAAAATTTAAGGAACTCTTTAGTAACCTTGGAATTATCTGTAGCAATTAATTTAGTTATTAAGGAAGTTGTATGAATGGCCATCGATTTGTTAGAGAGATAGGTCACTTTTCTTTCTCTCAAAATACATCAGCAAGAAACAAGGATATAAAAGGATTCCACAGCCAGATGGCTTCATATTTGCTCAGGCTAGGGTTTTTCGTATCAATTATCTACAAAACATAATTTCAAATTATAGCTAAACAAGTTAAAGAGTTTATTTCGTTTTTGCGACAGATATATAACCTCAGGCAATCTTCGCTCATTAAACCCTCGGTTTTGCCGATAGATATATACCCTCAGTCAATCTTTTATTATTATACCCTCAGCCATATTGCTAGATAGGGTATATATCAATTGATATGGCCAAACGTGCCTCATCGAAATAACGATTTTAGACCCTAGGTCTCTTTGGACCAAATCCGTTTCAGGACATTTGGAGTCCATCTAGCTATGTCTGTCTGCCTGGCTGGTGCGCACGATAACTCTCGAAGGGAGTATCCGATTTGGTCCAAACTTAATACATTGTAATATTATTGTCAAACTTAGATCGAGTTCGGAAATGGATAATATAGTTCCACTCCTTCTGGTACCTCCACCACAAAAGGTCGAAATTTTCTAAAAAAAAACATTTTACTGCACAGATAGTGAAAGGATGATCCGATTTTGCTCCAACTTTTCAAACCCCAA